CCCGGGCCTGCCGCCGCCCAGGTAAAGGGACCCTGCGCCAGGGCCGCGGTGCCAGGCGGGGTGCCTGGCCTTGGTCAGGATATTGCGTGTGTTGGGAGAGCTGGGATATCTAGCAGGAAAGCCGGGTTCCGGTCCCAGCAGTGTTCTGTGGGGCTCGTTTACCGCCCCAGAGCCGCTCGGTCACCGGAATGAGGCGTGGATGGGCAGCTTCCTGGCTGGCAAGTGGGGCCTCGTACCCGCACCCCGGTACGGGCCTAGGATCCGTGTGAGGGACCGGCCCAGCTGAGTACTGAGCCCGTGGCACAAAGGTGCCGGTTTGTACGGTGCAGGCCTCACACTTGCCTGAGCCTATGAACAGGACAGGGAGGGTGGGGCAGGGCCCGAGAGGGACAGGCCGAGCCTTTCAGCAGCCACCAGTGTTTGTGCTGGACTTTATTGAGTGGGACCAAACCAGAGAACATCTATTCCCGGCGTGTGTGCAAACAGGTATTTGCACCAAGAGCAGGATGCAAGGGACCTCACATTAGTAGCTGGTCTCCTTTATTAGTAATGATAGTCGTGGCAGCATTGTTCCAGCCATGGGAAATTGAAGATTTAACTGCCTCCCTAACACTAATGGTTAATGTTTTATTCCTGTAGTGTTCCTCTTTTGGTAGTATCCCCAAACCAGAGCTTAGGAGTGGGGAGCTAACTGTCAGACTCTTTGTGCATAGCATAAAGACAAGTTTTCAGAGGGGCTGCTTGTCTCTGCTGGGGGGTAATGAAGATGGTAAGGAGGGAATCCTCAGGCTCTTTGAGCACCCACAGTTTGCCAGGAGGTAACAGATAAGCTAGTCTTGAGACCTTCCCTTTAGAGTATGCCCTATTCTTTCTTCTGGATCTGGTTTGATTTTGCACAGGAGGGTCTGACTCTTCCCACAGTTTTGCTATGCAGCAAGAGCAGGGTAGGCCCCACACTGCTGCCTGTGCATGTGTCCCGTGCAGCGTGGTCCAGGGCTGCTGCAGGGGATGAGTTCAGGCATCTGCCCAGGTGGGAGCCGACCCAGCCTCCCCAGTCTCTCTGCAGCATCACTCCTACAGGGCAGCACCTACAGGGCTGTTTAGTTGTTTGTGTGGTGGTTTTCTGCAGGAGTTGGAAGAGGGGAGGGTTGTGGCTTTTCTGAAAGGGTGACAGAAAGCAGCCATCAGTAGAGGTATGGGAATGATTGCTCAGGGAAACCCACAGTGGCCCCAGGGACTGTGAGTCAGAAGGGAGGGAGGCCCTCATTTCTGATGGATCACAGCAGGAAAGTGGAGTGGTTATTTGGTTTGTCTCATACAGTTCCAAGTGTGATATGCAACAGCTGTTTTGTAAAGTTTCATCTCCTTTGTCTCCCGCAGTCATCTTGTTTTCCTTCTGTCTGGCTCTGCCTGTTCTATTCTTTAAGAGGCTGACTTCTTTCTGGCAGGGTTTGCCTTTACTGGCCTTTCAAATGTTTCCCTTCCCTCTAATTGTACCTTGTGAGCTTTTCTTTCTCCTCTGCTCTTAGCAGCTCAGCCTTGGCCTTGTGGCCCCTTGTCTGCTTTCTGGGGATGGTGACAGTGTGGAAGACCCTAGACCCGTGGAGTCAAGGTCTTCTGTGTGCACACCCGCTAACCCAGGACTTGCAGTTTATGAACAGAGGGAGGAATAAAAGAAAGACTCTAAGAGATACTTAAGGTCTTTCTGCAGGGAAGCAGGATGATCCACTTGTGGGGTGGAGAGCCAAGGGCTGGAGCTGAAGATTGGTGTGTCTGTGGGTTTCTGGGACCAAGGACAGGCACTGTGCCTGTATGTGGGCACATTCGCTTCTGCTCTGCCATGGGCATGGACTGGCCTCCTTGTAACTCTGGCCTGTGGAGATGGGCAGCTCTGCAAAGAACTGGATTGCGGCAGCAGAGCTGGTTAGCTGTCGCCTGAGTCTTTTGTTGGGGTAATCCTTTGTTATTCTTAGGGTGTAATGGTTTTGTACCTGCGGGCTGGGATTACAGTAAGCAGTCTGCATTTTGTCAGAGGGGAACCAGTGATTTGCTAGCCCAAGGGATTCAGGCTGTTTTCCTGTCTCTTTTTCTAGACCAGAAGTGCTGCAAACCAGTGCCATTTTTGTGCTGCCGTGAGGAGATCCACTGACTGTGCTCAACCACAGTGGCTTGTGGTAGCACTAAATGTCCCGTGAGCTTCAGCACTGACTAGATCAGCTGGTGGCAGGAACTGATTTTGCAACAATGAGATGCCTCACGCACACACTGCTCAGGAGGGTGTCATGTCTCTCACCTCAGTGCGTGCCAGGGAGATGGAGTCAAATCCTCAGTCCGAAGCGGTCGTCTCTGAGGCAGAGCTGCAGTGCAAAGCCTGGGGTCATGACTGCCACTGATGTGGTCAACTGCTGGCAGAAGGTGTTTGAGACAAATGGGATCCCTGAAGCACGAGAATCCAGTGAATATATCGTGTCATTTGTCCTGGGAGCAAAAACAGTTAAGTAATAGGAAAAGAATATGTTCTGTGTGTTCCTCTCACTTCATCATTTTGGTTGAATCCCTTACCTTTCTTTTTATCTCTTACAGGAAGCAGAACAACTTTTCCTTCTTTAGATTGCACAGAGGGTGAGGCATAGTTTATTTATGCCAATAGAACACTTGGATTCTCTTGAATGCCCTCTTTTGCAGAGATGAAATGTAAACCATGGCATACACACCCACACTGTACCCTGACATGCTTGGTGAAATGGTCCTTCATTTTACTTATTCTTTTAAGCCACAAAAGTAGCAGAGAAACAGTTGTACAGGTTTGTTTCCAAGCATGCAGATAGGTTTGCCTAATCATTTGTGGTTTCCAACAGTCCCTGGCATATGTTTCTCAGAATACTGAGTTTCCCTGGAGGGTGCAGAGGATGCCCTAGTGGCACAAGTGGGCAGGTTTTAATGTGACCTTGTCTTCAGTTTCAGAGCTTGAGTTCCAAAAGCCTCCACACTCCACTTACAGCAGTGCAGCAGGAGCAAATCCAGCAGCTGAGCAACAAGCGACTAGAAAGGTAGGAGCATCCTCTTACAGTCATTCCTTTGGAGGGTTTTCCTTCAGCCTTAATGAGCCAGAATGGCAGCAGAGGGAAGACAGAAATGACAATGCTGTGTTTGTCTCCTATGGTGACTCAATTGATGGGCATTTGCTGTGGTCAGGTAGCAAATTACCTGTCTGTCCTGTCTGGAAGGAAACAGGATTTAAGGTGTTGCAGAGGAGCAGGAAACTGACCATACTGACTCTGAGTTGGATACATTTTCATTAAGCCCTTCTGTGCTTACAGAATTGAGCCCTGGCCCCTCCTGTCTTCAGCTGCCAGCCCTATACTGGTCTGTGGGGTTGCTGTGTTTTCCTTTCTAGGCTTTGAAACAGGATTTCCTCAGTGTTTAGAGGCTGCTGTAGTTTTGGTCTCCATTTGGCCTCCATTTGGTTGCTCTGTGAAGGAAAGGTTCTCTTACTGCAAAAATTAAATGGTTTTGCTGTGAAGGAGCTACCTGGAATCATGCTTGCAAGCTGCTGTGTCTTAAGTGCTCTTAAGATTGCAAAAAATACCTGCTGTTCTACATGAAGAAGTGAGGTATGATGCCTCAGAGCAGCTGAAAACATGGTGCCAAAATTCATAAAGACATGGAATCATGGAGGTTGACAGGGACCTCTGGAAATCTAGTCCATCCCCCCCTACTTAAATGATTAACTAGAGCAAGTTGCTCAGAGCCTTGTCCAGTTTGGTTTTTAACATAACCAGAGATAGGTGTGGTACAGCATCTCTGGACAGCCTGTTCCTGTGTTTGACCACCCTCCCAATGTAAAAAAAAAAAGAAAAAGGGGAGTGATTCTTAGATTTAAATGAAATTTTCTTATATTTCAGTCTGTGCCCTTTGCTTATCTTTTCACTGGATACCATTGAAGAGTCAGGCTCTTTCTTCTTTGTTCCATCTCATCAGATACATATGGTTATTAATGAGGTTTCCTTCTCATGCCCATCCAGCCCAAGCCTTCCCTTCTCAAGGTTTAACTGTCCCAGCTCTCAGTCTCTCTCCTTGTATGTCAGATGCTCCAATCCCTTAATCACCTTAATGACCATTTATTGGCCTTACTCCAATGTGTCCACATCTCTCCTGTTCTATAGGACTTCACATTACTCTCTGCTGAATTTCATGAGGTTCCTGTCAGCCCATTTCTCCAACCTCCTCAGGTCCCTCTGAAAAGCAGCAGACCCATCCTGACCACTCCTCCCAATTCACTGTCACCTGCAGACATGCCAAGGGTGCTCTCTGTCCCTTTATGCAGGTCATTAATGAAGATGTTATGCTATATTGGCCCCACTGTTGACCCCAGGGGTACTCCGCTAGTGATCTGCCTTCAGCTGGACTTCACGCTGCTGAACACAGGTCTTCAAACCTTCCAGTACGGTCAGTTTTCAGCCCACCTCATTTACCTAGTCCATACTTCGTCAGCTTGTATATGAGGATGTTATGGGAGACAGTATCAAAACCCTTAGGAAAATCAAGATAAACAGTTTTTATTATTCTTTCCTCATGCACTGAGCTAGTCACTGTGTCATGGGTGGCTATCAGGTAGTCAGGAATGATTTCCCCTTTGCTGGCTACTACCAGTCACCTTCCTATACTTAGTATGTTTGGAAACAATCTGTAGGACAAGTTCCATCACTTGCCCCAGTATCGAGGTGAGGCTGACTGGCCTGTAGTTCCCTGGGTCCAGTGTATGATAGCAAACTCTTTTGTGGGAATGGAACTCCCTTAAAGTGTACATGCACACACAGTTGAGAGCGTTAGGGGTGTCTAGGTGCTCACCCTCAGAAGGGCGACGTGTTAGTAGTGAGGTAAGCATGGTATTGGGAGCTTTTCTTGTGTTACGGGGTGTACTCCTGAATTGTTCGCACTTGCTTTTGCCTGCTACAGAATGCCAGTGCAGTATGTACTTGGTGAGTGGGACTTTCAGGACCTGACTCTGAAGATGAAACCCCCAGTATTTATTCCTCGGCCTGAAACAGAGGTATGAATGCAGGGAACATGGTGGGGGTGGGCTTGAATCTATGACTTACATCATACAGTGCAATCATAGCATTGCTGTGAAGGCATCCTGTGTATCATGAGCTTGTAGTGATGAGGAGGTCATATCACTCCACTTCTTTTAGAATAGAGGGGGTTTCTTAGCTTCTGATTTGGAACTGATGGACTTTGCCTCCTGGCTCGAAACAAGAGATATTGCAAGGTAGTGTATCACTTAATTACATAGAGAGCCATCTCCATTGATGGCTTTCTTTCCATGACTTGGCTTTCTTTCCTTATTTCTGCTGTGGTAATGATTCCTGGAATTTCAAACCCTATGCTGCTATATCCCCAGTGGCATAGTACTTTAGTACAAGGATAAGAATCTCAAAGTTGTCCAAAGGTTGTTAGTAAAATCCTGCAGTAGTGGAAAGCTGCTACTGGAAAATGGTAACAGACTCCCGGGAACTTGTTTGTCCACTTGGAGATGAAAACAGTGCAGGCTAGTAAGACATTGCAGTTACCACCTGTCTGAAGGCTCCACAATGTTCTAGACAGACACTGGAAGCTGAAGGGTAAGTTCTGACTTGGGCTGGAATGAAATATGAATGTCAGTTGTAAGAATGTGAAGGGCAGCCATATGTGCTAAAACTCCATTTTCCCGTTTCCCCAGTGTTCCTGCTGCTAGGGAGAAGTCTAATACCTACATGATGACACTTTCTCAGACAGTAGCCTAACTTTCAGCTCATGGACTATCCTAGCAAGGAAGTCTTTCTGTTTACTAGGGCTCAGGAGGCTTTAGCTTTTGTTAGTTTATTCTTGTTTGGTTGGTTTGGTTTTCTTCTGAGAATTTGTTTTCTTTTGGAGCCTGTGTTAACTTCTGCAGATGAAGTGGTCTCCGTGGCTTGTCCTTTTAGAAGTCCCATAAGCTTCAACCTGTTTCAGTTTGCCAGCCATTTCTTCAGTCTTTTGCCTGCTGCTTGGTGACTGTTGTAATGTGTTGGTGTCTGTAAGGAGGGGCTCATGCTGTAAAAAGAATGAAAAGGCTCATTCAGACAGAATATCCCCTACTGACAGTATCAGGAGAGATGTCAAGGACTGAGTGGGCTTTGAGATGGGAAGACTGCCTTTGCTTTTTCTGGGGATGAGTTAGTATGGGAAACGTGTGAAGAAAGCTGTGGCTCACTGGAGAGGATGCAGTCTGCAGAATCCTTCATCTGACACCTTTTATTACACAAAAGTCAAAAGGCACAGACAGCCTGTGCTTCCGTTGTACCCTCTGAAGAAGAGGGTGCTACTAAAATCCATTAGAGGGTTCTGGACAGTTTAGTGGGAATCAACACTTAGACATCCTCTCGTCTCAGCCTGTATAATAAAACTCAAAACCAGAGCCTTGGTTTAGTACGGGGCATCAGCAGCACCTCACTGAGAGCCGGCTGGGCCCTAAGTCATAGTGATGACACTTGTGTCCAGAGAAGGTGTGAGCTCTCTGTTGTGTCTGGCTGTGATCACTCCATGGTGATTAAGTTTGGAGATAAGGCTCTAAGGAAGTTTTGCCAGTTGGAGCCCAGCCATGGTTAGCTTTGTTATTGCCAACAGTATTTCTGGTCGGGGTGATTCAAGAGAGTATTTCCAGCCTCTAAGTCCCCATTAATTCATGGATACGACGTGAGCATTAAAACGAGGGAGAACGTGCATGCTCTGCAAGTCAGAACATCTGTTGGCAAGGCTTCCTCTGGTGCTGTGCTTTAATTCTCTCCATGCAGTGCCAGGCTTCAAACAAAGGCCTGTGGAGTGGAAGCTGGGGTGGCTAATGCTTCAGAATATTGTTAATTGTGCCCATAAGCATGGTTTTGGTAAAAGCATCTCCACTGGCCCATGCTGAAATGCAGTGCAGTGTAACATGCGTTGTTTGAAACCATGTAACATACCCTGGTGCAAAAATGTAGCATAAAGGAGCTTGACCTAAATCTTGTCTCTCTGGGAAAACTTTATACGATGTGTCACCGTACTTCCTATGAAGGCACATTTTAGCACATTTATTATTGAAGGCTAGGAGTTTCTGAGGGTGGCTCAGGAATGGAGCTCTATTGACAGCTGAGAGTTTTCTTGTGATGTGACGCTGGGGTTGTTACTTGGACAGGAAGAGCACAGGGACAACATCCAGCTATTTAGCAGCACCTGGCAGGACATTGTTTTAGGCATGTGCTGCTTCCAGGAACCCTGTGCTGAGTGTAACCTGTTGCACAGAGTGAGTTGGTGCCCAGATCCTTTCCCTCTGCTAGCAAGGAATGGTTGATCATCTCTGCCTAGAAGCTGCATGTGGTGTGTTTGGATTGGAGTTTGCCCATGTTTTGTTTCATCAGAGTAATTTTTGCAGGCTTCACTGGACTTTTAAGATGGCAGTGGAAATAGCTCCTTTCAAAAATACTGAAGTTAGTTGCATCTGTTGCTTTCTTATTTAGGATTTGTCTGCAGCATTCTTAAAACCAATAGTGCTGAAACTTTTCCCCAGATAATGTCTGTAAATAATCCTTGCTCTTTAGGAAGCAGTTCATTATCAACATTGATAGCCCAAGGTCAAGTTGCTTATCTGTGACTGCACACACAGGCCACATGGTTTGGCTTGTCCTTGGCTGAGTAAATGTGACTCCCTAAATTGACTCGTTAGTGTGCACACACACAAACAGCTGCAAAATTTGCTTCCTAGTTACATTTATGTACCTTCTGTAAATGCTGCTGCTTGTTGACTCTGGGTCTGAAAAGAAGAGGAACCATTTTTATGAGGCACATTTTATTCTGTTTACAACAGAAGGTTTATGACTTGCTCCCAGACGCGTTGGTAATGGCATGAAGTTAAACACAGTATGACATAAACCACCAGCATTGTTTCAGTCCTGGGGACAGAGACACACATGCAAAGAGAAGCTCAGTTGTCTGCGTAATTTTGCCCTGTGTGAAATTTGCCCCTTTGGAGTCTATTAAGTTCTCTCTGGTAACTGAGCCCTTTCCTGTTTGCTTCCTCTGGGAAAATCTTTTCAGCACATGTGGCTTCGATCTTCTGCTCTGTGGGAATCCAGGTGGGGAGGGAAAGGCAGCCAAAATGAGGAAACTAGCAACTCTTGTTGCTCTGGGAGTGGGATAACAAAGCTGATTGCGTTCTATCATAACTTCTCGGCGCACAGGGCTGATGGATACTCCTGTGAGCACAGCCATGCTGTGCTGAGGCACAGTTTTGGTAAGCAGCCCGCAGTCTCACCTTCCCCCAGTTACCCAGCCCTCTGTGATTAAAGCTTTGGACTCACTGCTGCAAGTGCTCAGTGGGTTTGTGAGGGCTTGTGGAGCTCGGTGGCCTGCCTGCTTTCCTCATGTGCCCATCAGAGCCAGGCTTGTGCACTGGGGAGGTGTTTAGACGTGTGCTTAGCTTTGTGAATTGTCTTTGTTATGTGAGTTTTACTGTCATGTCAAGGAATGCCTGTCTCAGCATTGCTCAGTCACTATATTAATGGGGAAGAAAGTCCTTTTCCCAAAGCAAGGGCTTCTACAACTGAGGCATCAGCCTTGTGGATCAGAGGAAAAATAGGGCAAAGAGGAGAACTCAGCCGGCCGTGGATACATAATTCCTTTTTTGTCGAGGCAAGTAGAGGCTAAATGAAGCCTCACCATGACTTCATTAAGGAAAGGTTTGGGTTGGTCCAGGACTCTTCTGAAAGAGGTAGTTTGGGGTATCACCAGTCTGTTACCCCTAGAGGGCACTCCAGGCTTACGCTCGCGGACTTCCTGGTGGCTCTATTGCGTATTAATTATGATAGGATTTTTGGTGTTCCTGATCCCCTCCTCTCTCAGATGCCATGTTTTAAAGCAAATGAAGGCTTATTTTCTTCATTGGAAACAAATGGTCATTTTTTATGCTTTGCAGCTACTGTGTGGGTAGAGACAGGTTCTTGGACATTGAGGTTTTGTTTTTGCAGGAGGGAAGCTGCTGGGAGGAGAGCTCCAGTTCTGCTTGGGAAGATTGTCACAGTCCCACCATCCCCTCAAGCCCTGTAACACCTCCTTGACCTGTCGTGATCTCAGCACAAGCTCAGACCCTACTTAATTTTTCTGTCTTGGCTTTGTTGTGGTAGCTGTGTCATGTGGACAGTCAACTGTTCTGTGAGGGGGATACTGTAGGGTGAGGATGAATGTTTAGCCTGGGAGACATCTTAGGGAAAAGCCACTCTGAACAGTTTTTAGTAGTCATTCATGCAAAACAGATCATGGCTGCACACTTCTGTGAGAGCATGAATAAAGACTTAGTGCATCAGGCTTTAGGGATCTAGTTCAGTCTAGTTCAATGTGCTGGGTGTGACTGAGACTTATAGCAGATGGAGCAAAATTACAAGGGAAAAGATAGGTATGGAAGGATCCCCCCCCATCTTTTGACAGTCAGCAGTTAAGGGCTGGTTTTAGCCAAAGCTGGATTTGGGGCCATTGTGCTTCATAATCACTAACGGATCTGTCCTCTATTCGTTTGTTTAATCCTCTTTTGAGTCATCTGTGTCTGATGATGCCTCCATGACATCATCCAACAGTGAAGCTTTCTAATTTTGTGTTGTAAGTGGGAAGAGTATTTTCTTTGTTTCTGGTGCTGCCTGCTCACTGAACAGGAAAGCCCTTATTGCTCACTGTATAACACATAAACCATTGATGCTCTCTATAGCATTTGTAACTTGTAGTCCTGTTGCTGTCTAATTAATTCTTTTTCCACTTATGATTTTCAAGCTTTTATCTTGTTTCCTAAGATAGATTGTTTCTTTCCCATGATAAGATGCTCAATAAACCATTGCTGTGCACTTGCATCTGTCAGCTGAACGGCAGTCATTGTGCTGGGGTGTTCTAGGAAAGCACTTTAGTCAAAGATTTGCTCAGAGAAAGCTTTCATGAAGTTTAACCTCACTTCTAGCTAGACATAATCATTAACCTTTCAAGGAGGTCAAGAACTCACAGAAGGGAGGCTTTTGG